CAGTTCGTCTGTCGCATTCTGATTAGACTACTGGCACGTTTACACTTATGTGAGTACTTTGAACCATTCTAGACAGCTTATATTGTCTGATTTTCACAGCCAATGCCCTGCAAAAGGAAAAATATGTTGTAAGCTAGCAACCAACACATATAAGAACGTCCAAAAAAACAACAAGAAAACAGGGGCTCGAAGACTAAATATTACTTGTACAGTGTTCTATGTGTTTCGTCTGTCGCTTCTGTGTTGAGACTACTGGCATGTTAACCCTTACGTGAGCACGACTTAGTATACTGTTATGTTCAGTCAGCCGAAGTACCGGTGTCAAGCCAAATACATGACTCTCCAATATACCCGAGACAAGGGGTGGGAGGGGTTTAGTCGTGATGTGGGAGACTAACCAACCACCAATCGTAAGTCTAACCTTAACCCTGAACAATAGTCCCAACCCTAACCCTAACTCTAACACCAACACTAACCCTAACTTAGCCTAGCCCTAAACACCTGACCTCTCACGCATGTGGCAGCTCAAGGATTTGGCTCAACACCGGTTCTAGCCTGACCTGCAGACTAGCGAGGTTCTCTACATTCTTCAGTCGAACCGGTCGAACCACTTCTGTTCCGCCCCACTCAGTCAACACGGGGAGGCCCCTTTAACAGGTTTCTAGCGATCACAATCTTAGATCTTGAATCTTCTTGCTTCTTAAGAGCACACGTCTGGAGAATTGTGTTCTAGCTACATCGGTGGCAGGCTGTGGGTTGAAACGGAGAGTTTGTGACACGCCAGGTGACTTGTGAAAGGCTGACGACGTCCACCGAACATCGTAAGTGACACGTGCAAGATAAACGTGAGGTAATGAGTATAGGGGAGGGTGGGCGTACTCTTGGCCTAGTACAGGTGCATTGTCTGTATACTTTATATAGTAGTTGGGACATCCACCAGTTTATTAGTCATTTTGTACATCATGCATAGTCTAGACATCTTTCTTCTGTCTTCCAGTGAGGTCTGTCTATCAACGAGAAACAACCTGAAATATTCAATGTGTTTTTCTTTTGAGTCTACATGGCTTCTTCTTCTGTGGTTGTGGAAAAGATGGCGAAGTTTCTCCCACCATTTGGGTTCGAGTAGCGGCTCTAAAATATCGTATTTTTCTATTTTTTTTTTCTTATAGTCTACATGGCTTCTCCGTCAGTCGTTGTGGAAAAGATGGCGGCACCCGAGGACGCGGTTTTACAGACGTTCTTCCCGCCTTTTGAGTTCGAGGAACGTTTCGACTCGGCGGCTTTCCACAGGTGGGTCACTATATACAGGGGTGCCCGAGAATACAGTGCAATTTTACGGAATACCGTGCAATTTTTCGGAATACAATGCAATTTCACGGAATACAGTGCAATTTTACGGCATTGCCAAATCTTTAGAAGCCAAAAATCCAGATGGGAACAACTTCCAGTTTTTGCATCTTTTGTCCTGAACATGCCTTGATCTTGAGTTTTCCGAATTTTTGTTGAATTTGCAGGTGGTTCCGGACCCGCTGGTGGTGGAGCGTGGTTCTCTCGGCAGCGTACGTCGCGCTGGTGTTCGGCGGGAGAAGGCTCATGGCGGCCCGGGAACCGTTCCGGTTACGGCTCCCGCTGGTGATGTGGAACTCCGCACTCGCTGTATTCAGGTAAGTACTGCTGCGGTGACAATGAATTTGCTGGCGACACGATTGGAAAATGGCAGAATAGTCTAGCCATAAAATTTTTAATCTGTTGCTTTGTTACGTTTTGGCTTTGGTTATGTGTTGGAAAACAAAAAATACAAATAAGGTCAATGACATGTACCAGACATCTGTCACCATAGTAACTGCGGTTGTATGTAGCAGTCACTCTGTGGTGTTGGATTACATTATGTAGCAAGTGGCAGGACTGAGATGGAGGGGCTGGTCACCATCACCGCATATATACAGTACTCGATGTGTTTGAGTAAGAATAAGCAGAGCAGTAGTTTGTTAGACTGTAGATCATGTATAAGTAAACATATGTATTTGCTCTGCATATGTTGAATTTCTAGTTTATCTGTCGATTGATTGATTGCTTCCGTCCCCGCTCCGCAGTATCCTGGGCGCGCTGCGTACGAACGTGACGCTGTTCCACATCCTGCAGCAGAAGGGCTTCCGGTTCTCCGTATGCGACCCGCTGCTGCTGACCGGCCCGGGGTCGGGGTTCTGGGCGGCAGCTTACTCCATCAGTAAGGTACGTAAGACTTTTGTATCTAGTATCTAGAACCATTGTATCTGCAACCTTTCAAGCTCTAGATCTCACTGTTCCATGCTCAAGCTCGGTTCTGGATGTAGTTGACGGGTATCCAGATTCATGGATGGATGCGGTGAGATTATCCAGAGTATGCATACTCCATCAGTAAGGTTAGATACCCCCTAGCAAAACGTCCAAAGTAGCTTTAACCAAATTCAGTTCAGGACATTTCGGGCCGGGCTCGGGGTTCTGGGTCGCCGCATACTCCATTAGTAAAGTACGTATCTAGAGGCTGAGCCGTTGCAATTGTATCTGTTGTATCTAGAACCATAATGATTGTGTCTGCAACTGTTTATCATTATCCAGTTCCAAACTCAGGCTCGTCCAGAAACGGAAAAATATTCCATCATGAATACATGCAAAAACATTATCCAAAACCGTGTCTGAGCACTCAGGCAAAGAACTTAGGCCCAAACCTAATCAAGCATAGAACTACATAGGTATGGTTCTGGCTACGTTATAGGCCTACAAAAACACATTTTTTAGCCGAATACCAGAGTCACGTAACTCTCTAACTTTCTACGCTGAGATGTCATAGAGTTTTGTTGGTACCTAGAAAATGATGGTCTGTTGTATTAATTGGGAGAAATGTCATCCATAAATTAAAGCAAGATTGTGCGCCCAAACTTGAACTAAATGGATGCCATTTCTTCTCCCCCCAGGTAGTAGAGTTCGGGGACACATTGTTTATCGTGTTACGGAAACAGCGGCTGATCGTGCTGCACTGGTACCATCATGTGTCCGTCTGTATGTTCAACTGGTTCGCGTACGCAGAGCTGGCAGGACCCGTGGGGTAGGTCTTTTTCAGATTATGTCACCATAGTTCTCCGAGCTTTTGCCATTTTAATATCAGTTAAGAGTAAGTTTGTATGTTCATCTGGTTTGCGTACGCCGAGCTGGCAGGACCTGTGGGGTGGGTATTACTAGTATTCAGATTATGTCAAACAGGTGTCAGAAAGTTCCATGCGACCATTCAGAATTCAGATGATCGATCACCAAAACAAAAGACTACGTTTCTACTCAAATCACAAAACCTACTTTTATGTAATATATGGGGTGGTACATCATCTATTGCCTTCAAAGTAGCTGACAAACTCTTTAATAGTAAACATAGTACTTTATAGATTACACAGTACATGTAGTTGTATGTTCGTTTGACTTCCCTTTATTTTTCTTTCCTTCACACCTTCGGGCATGATTTTGCAAATAAAAGATAGTTTATAGCCAAGTATCTCCCATACACGGAACTTCCCTTTTTGATGTACCTCACCATCTGAAATCACAAATGCAATCCCTCACGCCCCTGTGTTACATTTACTGACCATTCCTATTTAACAGGTATTTTGTCGCCATGAACTACGCCGTCCATGCTGTGATGTACTCCTACTGTACCGTGTGTAGCCTGTGTTATAACCATGCTGCCCGTCCCTCCAGGTATTTTGTCGCCATGAACTACGCCGTGCATGCGGTGATGTACTCCTACTACGCCGTACGGGCTGCGGGGTACCGGCTACCCAGGCGACTGGCCATGGCCATCACTGTGGGACAGAGTCTGCAGATGGTCGGGGGTAAGCTCTTACACAGTTCAGACGACTTTCCTCACTCCAACCAGGTGTAAAATTGGTACCTGACTTCGGTTGGGGAGGTAAAAGGTGGTGAATGGAGAGCAATGGGCTCCTCCTTCCAATACCGTGCCCAAGACACCGTGGACTTACAACCCACTGTTCCTACAGCCTGGAAAGGTTGCGGGCTGCCTTTACTCTTTTTTGAAGTCTTCAACCAGATACAATCATTACTTCCACGTGTATTTTAAAATAGAACATGTGTGAGATCTCTACGCTAGCTTGAAATGTACGGACCTTGGAGTGCTGTTACATGCTAAGTGCAACTTTACGGACACTAGCGTTAGGGTTCAGGCATAAAATGTTGAAACACCTCAACGACTTACGGTCACCTTTTCTTATTTTCCCCAGGGCTGTTCATTGGTGCTTACGCACACGTGACGTACCGATCAGGGGAGGCCTGTCATTGGTCAGACTTTGGTTCCATCCTGTGCGTCATAATGTACGGCAGTTACCTCCTGCTCTTCTTACACTTCTTCTTCAAGTCTTACGTTTCAAAGACTCCAAGACCCAAGAAGGAGTGATAATTTCTTCGAGTTCTACGTCTTTAACACTTGAAGGCCCAAGGAGTGATCTCTTCTTCACGTCTTACGTTCCAAAGACTCCAAGAACCAAGAAGGAGTGATATCTTCTCTAAGTTCTACGTTATTAAGGCTCTAATTACCCAAGGAGTGATCTCTGTTTCAAATAATACGTACTAGTATTCAAGACTCTGAAGACCAATGAAGGACTTATAAGTTTCGTACCCAAGAAAGAGTGATATTTTCTTTTAAGTTTTACATTGAAGACTCATAGACCCGAAAATGAATGATTCTATCGTCAAGTTGTACGTTTTCCAGACTCCAAGAAGGAATGAGCTCGTCTTTATTTTAGTCGGATGTTTTCAAGACTTGAAAGATCAAGAAGCCGTGTTTTTGTTCCACAAAAGAAGGCATGATTACAAGATGTCGATGACAATTGATTACTACAATACATCAATGAATAAGAGTACACAAAGCAAAATTGCTCTTTGCACAAGCCTGTAAATTTCAGTATATTACATGAATAAACGCAAGCTTAAACAAACAAATCTCTATCTCTATATACTCACTTTATGCTACGGATAACAGGTTTTTCATGATTATATTTAGAAATACTTATATTAAGTACCGATCTGTTTGCAACACACAAGTTATGAATATCTGATAGGACAAATTTGAGAACAAACTTGTTCCATGCTTACAGTTTTATCAAACGCTGAGTAAAAATCTCTCCAATTCTGGACTTCCCAGAAAAAGCATACTCTATGCAATGTCATGTACTTTTTTTTTTGCCTTTCTAGCCCTATTCCAGAGACAACCTGTCCAAAAATACTCTTTACTGTACAGCTATGTTTAGTTTCTATCTCTTTTACCACTGTGACAATAGACTGCAAAGTTAAAACAATTTTCCCAGGAAACTTCTTCACATGACATCTTACTGATTTTCTTAAAGATGAATTTGTTGATGACTCCTAAGAAAATAGAGAAGTTGATACTGAATTTCCATCATCTGGACTTATAAATATTTCCTGGAAATTTTCTTGGTGATGATTTCCAAGATGTCTTGACGATCAATTCCTTAGAAACTAGAAAAGATGATCACGGAAGAACCATTATCTGGACTTAAAAATGTTTTCTGGCGATGTTCTTAAATATGTGGTCTTGTTAGAGATGTCTTGACAAGTCCTAAGATGCTAGAAAAGTTGATCACTGAAGAACCATCATCTGGGCTTAAAAATGTTATCTGAGAAAGTCTTGCTGATTCTTTAGAATCTCTTGATGACTCCTAAGAACCTAGAAACTTCACCGAAGAACCATCATGTGGACTTAAAAATGTTTTCTGGGAACTTCTTCACATGTCTTCACTACTCCTAAAAAGCTACAGTGTTGATCACTGAAGAACCACCATAGATTTCTAGTGATGTTCTTAAATTGTTCTAAGTCTTGATGATTCTTGAAACCTGGATCAATGCAGGACCATCATCTGTTGAGGCGTTCCTTCTTAAAAATGTCCTGATCTGGACCTGAAAATGTTTCTGTAAAGATGACTTGAAGATTCCTAAAAAAACTAGGCAGTAGATCACTTTGAAGAGTTCCTTGGGGAAGTCCTGCTTAAAAATGTCTTGATCTATACTTGAAAATGTTTTCTTTCAATGATATCAAACTTTGATCACTGCAGAACCATCATCTGGACTTTAAACAGTTCCTTGGGGAAGTCCTTCTGTGCCTCCTCCTTCACCACCCTCAGCCCGCTCTCCGAGATGATCTGTTTCAGATAGCGGTGTGACCGCGTCACGCTGCTGTCATCCTGGTCAAAAATCACCCCGTCTGAACAGCTGTCGTCCGCTACGTTCTCTTTCACTACGATTATCCCGTTTTCTGCCAGACCAGCCTGGAGGGTGGGAGGGGAGGAAGGAATGAGTGAATGAATGAATGAATGAATGGAGGAATGAATGACTGAATGAGTGAAGGTTACACACCATACCAAGAAAATGAGATACACAAGAAAACAGTAACTCAAGCAGCTCAATAGATATTGAAAATGTTTCAAGTGTGTACTACTTTTCTCAGTGACTTGTCAGCGATTAAAAGTTACAGGTATCAGCCAAGGATTGAACACCTCAATAACTCTGGTACTCTGGAAGACACGTCTTGTTCTATTTGAGCTGGTTTTAGATATACTTGTGGGTAGAAAAAACCAGTCCCAGACCGTACCTGACATCGCTGGAAGAAGGAGACCAGGTCCTTATGTGTGAGGTGTCCCAGCACCCACTGGATCCAGATCACATCATAACGGCCGGGGTCAGGGGTGAAGTCCTGCAGACCACAGCAGATATACCTGTAGAGAGAAAACAAAAATTATATGTGTTTCTGTTCATGATCAAACTTTTTTGGTGTCAACAAAAAATGAGTTCGGCATATTTTTTTGCCAACCTGAAAGCTAAGGTTTGACCTGTATCATACATGTGCATGTAAATGTACATCATTATGGATTGGTGTTTAGTTCTATATACCGGATCCTAAGTATGTTTCGGCTAGGCCCAGAACTTTTGATGCACTTCAGGTAGAAATCTGTTGGCATCCTTCTTTCTCGGAAGACAATTGAATCCGCGCCATGGTAGAAATCTAACCCTGTATTTACAAGCCTCAATACCTACCTGTCTATTTTCTTAGAACTTGATCCGAGATAAGTCTTGGCCTGATCTAAGAACTTCTGACAGACCTCCACCATGTCCACCCTGCTGAAGAGAGGACAGAGGAGCCCGTGGGAGACACGACCGATTCCAGCGCCACAGTCCACGGCGCGACGGGTTTTTGTCTTCGCATTCGGACCCTGGAGTTCAAAATTATAAAAAAAAATGTCAACATGCGACCATCTTAGGCATCGTGTAAATCTTGAATAGTGAACAGTGAATCTTTATTGCATGTTCATACCCATGGGGTTGAATGCATATACTGAGTATCAATGCACATGTTATAGTATAAAAGGATGTAATGGACTTATTACTATATAAAGTATAAAAGGATATTAAAAGGAATCAATATAACAATGTACTTTTAGAAGTCTACTGATTGGCTTTGGCCTTACATCAAGGTTTATTATACATGACTGTATAATTTTAAGATGAATAATTAAGGAAATGCTACAATGATCAGCAACAAGAGTGTTCAAACCTCTCATCTTTGAATCATCATACTGGACAAAAATCTACCTTTGCTTTTCTCTTAACTGATAAAACCTGAAATTCAAATTTACTAGTAAAGAAGTTTGTTCCTTACTGAGATGAATTCCTGAAGGAACTTCTTGGAGCCCTTGATGTCGACCTTATCGACCTTGGAGTAACCTCCCAGCATTCCGTCAACGGTGGCAGGAATCGCCTTCCAGTAGCTTTCCGCATCCCCGTAGAACTGCGTGTCTGGGTAGTTATCCATGCTGGACATCTGAAGTCCACAGGAGAAGTCAAGTCAAAGCCTTTATGTTGGCTACAATGGGAGGGCTGGCTGGGGATGGAAGGAGTGAAAGGGAATGAATGAATGGATGAACATATGAGGGATCTCCGCAGAACTGGATTTCTTTAAAGGTGTGTCTCTGAGTACTTACCCTGGATCCACACTGGATCTATATTGGAGCTAGAACGGGAGGCTGGGGTGGAATAAGTGAAGGAATGAATGGGTGGGTGAACAAATGAATGCAGACTCTGACTTAGTGTGGAAGTCTCTCCAATTTCGTCAAAGACAGAAATGAAATGTCCAGACGATGCACTATGGCCGAGCTGTATGATTTGACTATGTATAAATGATACAATAGAACTTTATTGCACGACAGTTGCACAAGGTACAATGTATGGCAAACTACATAAATGATATACTTAGTAACGTTACAACGTTCCTCAAACATGGTGCATAACATTTTACAATGTTTCATTATCAAGAATATTTTTGAACACTCAAAGTAATGGGGAAGTCATAAAAAGTTCCTCCTATGTCCCCGGCCCCTGTGAATCGAACAGCCCTTGCTTGAATTGTTCCCAAAAAAGCTCGCAAAGGTTCCGTCAGGCTGATCCAAATTTGGAGAACGGAGTTATTTTTAACCACAGGCAGGAGAAAACAGAGAATCACTTTCACGATTTCTGGGTGGAAAACTCAGGATCCTCAATATCTAAAACTGAGGGGATGGAATCTATAGCTACAACGTTCCTTTTTCAGTAGTTAATCTTCAGAAGACTGGCTATGTTAGCCAATCGCCAACACGTAAAGTGGCAGAACAGCTGTTTTTGGCACATGGCACCATGCTTCAGTACCACCCCCCTCCCCCCTACAAAAATCTCGTCTCAAATCTTACTTTTCTCGACAAATACGAGGAAAATACGAGAATAAACAAGCTCAAACAATTGATACAATATTCCCTAAGTAAATAATTGATAAATAGTGCCTTAAAATGATATTTGAAGAACATAACTTACCGTGAACTTTTATTTATTTTCCCTGAAATCTTCGTAGAGTAACTATTGGTCTCGTTCCCAGGGTCTGATTGACCAGAATGCCCTGGGTTAGAGATCTCCACAGGAGGTCAAAGTTTAGGTCAGAGTTCACAAAATGGCGGGTAAACAGTGAAAGTGAAACTTGTTGGTTGGTTTCGTTGTGGTTTTATGTCGTAAAGGCGGGTTAAAAGGTAAGGATGTTGTCTGCTTATGAACATCTTATACCTTAGATTACGTGTTGTTTATTGTTGGTATTTGTGTGGTCAGTACATTGCCATGTGGTAGAAATTATGTAACGCTAACAGCGTAATGTGTCTATTAAAATCAGATTGTAGTACATTATAGAACTTCCAGTTGCATAGGCCTGAGTGTTTCTTTACCGTTTCAAACATAATCCCAGTACATAACCTTCTCCCTGTTGCCTAACCGCATAGCAAGTACAAATTCAGTACCAAATGGCTACCTTAGCAGGCTAAAGGTTATGTAAAGCTTGCATTGCTGAAGCATATAAGGGGGCCCACAAGCCCTTTTCTGTAGAGCGTAATCAGTCCTTTTAATTCTACGTAGAGCGTTACAGACCGCTCTAATGCAACATAGAGTGTACATGTAATTAGCGTATTTTGCATAGAACGTATTCGTTGTTTTAATTCTACGTAATATGCATTGTAGCCACTTGGAATTTATCATAAAGCGTAATCTCTTCTGTATCATAATACGTAGCCGGCTCTCAAAGTTTAGCGCAGAGCGTTGTTGGGACCCCCCCCCCCATGCAGGCCCCCTTACATTGCTGATGTATCTCCACAGAAAACCATAAGGGAAAATTCTCACCAATAAAACACGCGTTCATACAGCCGTTTAGTTTTTGACTTGGTACTCTTTTAGGGGGTACCTTCGGAGTAATACATGAATGAGAACTTAATAGCAGACTGAATGCTAAAGCTTGCATTGCTGATGTACATATATCTCCCCAGGAAACCAGGATGTCCCACAAGCGGCCACACCCGTCGCCCCGGCAACCGTATCCCAAGCAACACGGCAACAAGCCTCGCCCGTCACCACGGCGACAGCAGCACTTCCCCCAGGCCGTGTGGGACGAGACCGAGCGACTCTTCAGTAAGAAGTTCTCCTTCCAGAAGCCGGAGGACGACTCCTGGCACCTCCCGCCCGCCGGGGTTCTCTTCTCCTGTAGGAACCTGGTGAGTCACGAGATGGCGGGGATGAAGGAGGAACTCAACAGGGTCAAAGGTCAGTGTTAGATGATCAGACATCTAAGCACATAGGCAGAAAATCCAGGGTTCTGCGCAGGCGCAGTACGTTCTGCCGACATGATACTAGACATCTAGAGGTAGAGCAATGTGTACATGATACAAAATAAACCTAGCAACTGGCAATGACCATATGGATGCTCTGAAGAGTCAGGTGGTCTAGACCTTTCATTAATCACTGTGTGTACGTATACCTATTGCTGTTTATAAGGTATTCTCAGTGATATTACAGGGAGTAAGAAGAGTGAGTCAATGGAAATGATAACATCAGAGATTGGACCAGCATGAGAGTAGGTGAGGAACAGAAAACTGAGAGCAGTTGAAAAAGAAAACTCTGATCATCTATAACTGTATAAGACTATTATGAGATAGAGAGAGTGTACTGACAGAGAGAGTACTGACAAGGAGATCTGCAGCTGGCCTGAGCACAAACCAGACCAACCGCACCAGTAAACAGACCTGCTGTTGTCTTATTTTATTGTGTATTGTTAACTGTATGCATGTAATATATCTTAATATTTAGGTCTTCTCAGTGACAAAGAGATCCGTAGCTGGCACGAGCACATCAACCAGATGAACCGTGCGGGTAAGGTGATCTCCCACCTGAAGCAGACCATCCGTTTATTGTGTTTTGTTTACTTATTGTTCTTCAGGCCTCCTGATCATGAGTGACAAGGAGATTTGCAGCTGGCACGAGGACACGAACAAAGGAGATTGCATTTACTGTACATCCTTAACTGTTTATATCTTATTGTTGTTTAGGTCTCCTGAGTGACAAAGAGATCCGTAGCTGGCATGAGCACACAAACCAGACCAACCGTGTTGGGAGGGTGATCTCCCACCTGAAGCAGACCAGCCGTTTATTGTGTTTTGTTTACTTATTGTTGTTCAGGTTTCCTGAGTGATAAGCAAATCCGCAGCTGGCACTAGCACACAAACCAGACCAACCGTACGGGAAAGGTGATCTCATATCTGAAGCAGATAATCCACCTGATGTTTACCATGCTTTGATTTACAGTTTGTATCTTATTGTCTTTAGGTCTACTGAGTGACAAAGAAATCTGCAGCTGGCACGAGCACACAAACCAGATATACTGTGCCAGAAAGGTGATCTCACACCTCAAGCAGACGATCTACATTTGTACCTGATGCTTGCTTTGGTTTACAGTTTACATGTTATTGTTCCTCAGGTCTCCTAAGTGATAAGGAGATTCGTAGCTGGCACGAGCACACAAACCAGACAAACCGTGCGGGGAAGGTGATATCGCACCTGAAGCAGAACATCCGCCCACAGCTGTGTACACAGGCCTGGTGCAAGTTCCACGAGATCGTCTGCACATTTCCACTGGTCTCGGACGCTGCCGTGGAGGTGAGGATTATTAAGAACAGTCCTTTAGTGAATACAATCTAGTCTTCCTGGAGTCCACTAAAATGATACAAAACATAACAACAGAATATACTAAATTATACAACAGGATTAATCATTAATGGAAGAATAACATAAATTAAACTCAAAATCACAGTCTCTCTCTCTCTATTTGGTTTATCTTCTGTTGTTCCCCATGTTCTGAGGCTTAGACATGCTTGCACTCTGATGCTGGGGCTTGATGGTAGCTCGCCATTTGCCTCTGTCCTGTGGTTCTTGGGCACAGCAAATGTCAATACCCCTGCGGGTTTGAGTTAGAGTATCGGCAGCTTCACCGGCCAGCCAAGTGGTGTCCCAACATTAGGTGATGCAGTCCATGATTTGGATGCTCCTTTGTTAATCAAAATAATAGAATCCATTATACAACAAATTATACAACAAACTATGTATTCCAGGCAGGTGTGTTCAGCAGTGTTCACCTGTGTGAGGCGCCGGGAGCCTTCATCACCAGTCTGAACCACTACCTGGTGAACAGGAGGGTGGACTGTGGCTGGAACTGGGTGGGAAACTCCCTCAACCCTTACTATGAGGGTAACGATCTGGAGCACACCATTGATGACGACAGGTTTGTTTGTTTGCTTGTTTGTTTGTTTGTTTGTTTGTTTGTTTGTCATCACCAGTCTGAACCATTTCCTGGCCAGACAAGGTTTGTTTTCAAATCATGATATTAGGGTTTGATTTGAATAGCTTTGCAGGACGCCACATGCTTTTGCAGTGATTTTATTTTGCAATATAAGGAAAAAGGGTGTTTTGTGCTGTAGGAATTAGTGGTTAAAACACCTTGTAGTGGAGAGGTTTAACTACCTTGAAAGTTTTATGGTAACTTTATAAATGAATTCAAATCATTTCACACCCCAGGTTCATCTTTGGTACTCTCCCCAACTGGCACTTTGGAGCTGACAACACAGGAGACATCATGAGTGCTGAGAACCTGCAACATCTCAAGACATTTGTGGAAGAAATCCAGCCGATACACTTGGTAAGCTTCTGTAGATTATCAACTGTTTAAAAGAACCAAAAACTGTTTTCTGTGTTTTCTGTCCCAACCTTTTTTTTCACAGGGGATCTAGACCGGTTTCATTTGTTTATTTGAGTTTACCACGAGTATACAAGTGAAAGGGGGACAAAACAGGTGCATTAACACCTTTACAAGTTGTCCTCCCATTTCGGTCCCTATCTACAGACTGCCAGAACAATATGCAGTTTATTGTTTACTTTTCCTGTTTATTTCTATTGTTTATGTTTATGTTTCCTGTTTCCTAGGTAACGGCAGACGGCAGTATAGACTGTCAGAAGAACCCAGGAGAACAGGAGAGTATAGTGTCCCAGCTGCACTACTGTGAGGTGGTCAGTGCCCTGCAGCTGTTGGGGGAGGGGGGCGCTCTGGTAGTGAAGAAGTTCACCATGCTGGAGCCTTCCTCGGCGTGCCTCATGTACCTGCTCAACTGTGTGTTTGACGAGGTGGGTGCTGTTTTATCCAGAACTGTGCTGTAACCAGAGCCATGCTTGGACGTAGTTCTGGATAGTCCATGCATATCCAGAACTGTGCCTGCAGGCAAATCTGAGCTCTTGGATGTGTAGAGACTATCCAGAACTATGCCTGATCCTAACCCTAACCCAGTGAGGCATAGAACTTAAGATAGGCATGGTTCTGGGTGTTTTAGACATGGAATAAATAAGTAAAAAAAAAAAAAAACAGAATCTGGTGGATAAAGGAATAAAGGAATGAATTTCTAAGTATTGCTATGATCATGGCAGACAGTGCAATGCATTTCTCTTGCCAGCAAGTCATATGAAGGATGATTTTTGTTTCAAACACTTTACAAAGTTGTATAGAAGTATTGCTAACCACAGGCTATATTACTGACTTGTCTATTCCGTGCTGCTTTAGGTCCATGCCTTCAAACCAGCGACCAGTAAGTCTGGCAACTCTGAGGTGTACGTTGTCTGTCTGGGCTACTCAGGACAGGAGGCACTGACAGGGCACATGGACAAACTCATGGCTAATTTCAGTACGTCAGAAAATTACACAAAGTTTAACCCAGCTAAAAACCGATACATAGAATCCAGAAGTCTTTGACCTTCATAACTTTTTACATCATGGACAAACTAATGAACAACTTCAGTAAGACTGGGCAGGTTATCTTCAAGTTGGTGGAAAAACTCTGGACATGTCAAATATTAAAAAAAAGAAAGTATTCAAATGAATAAAGAAAGATGCTGATATACACATAGAAAATGTACTGTAAAAGAAATACATGATTATTCGCTTGAGGCCCTTGAAATTAAGAAAAAAATGACTAAAAATGATGTAAAATAAATGTCTTGCGTAATTATAAGCTTTGAGTAACAAAATGAAACAGGTCCTGTTCTTGACCTCCACAGAGCCAGATAGCCCTGAGAATGACCTTTTCCCCAGTGAGACCCTCCCGGCAACCTTCACCTCGCAGCTGGTCTCCTGCTGCCGGCAGTTCACACAACTCCAGTGTGATACCATCCAGGTATGATCTTATAATGTTGAGGTTCTAAGAATATTCATCAATCTTAACGTTGCCGTTTGGATGTCAAGCGGACACTTTCTCACCTTTCGAATGTCCAAACAGCTTAACACCTTTCCTACATACAGTTACTCAAGCAACTGGATATGATTTTGGAAACGGTCAGACGTTTAAGCTTTCGTCAGTGACTGGGAGACCAGAGGAGAAATGCAGGTTTATAAGCACAAACTATTGATTGATATGCAAATATTGACGACAATTTTTTGGCAGTCAAAAAGGGAACAAAAGTCAAAGCCTTTCCTACATACATATTTCGTTCCTACATACATATTTCGTTCCATTTTGTTTCATTTTGTTTCATTTTGCACTTTCTGTACACCATCCAGGAGAACCTGCAGTTGTTTGAGGACCTGAGTGAGGAAAGGGCAGAACACCTCCGCCAGGCGAGGGACTGCTGTGCACAGGAGTACGTACATCGGTACCACCTCCGGCCTATCAGGAAGGACCACAGGATTTACACTGAGGTACGTGTGTGTGGGGGGGGGGTAGGGTTAGTAGTACATGTAGCTCCATTGCAGGACTGCTGTGCACAGGAGACGAGTACGTACATCGGTACCACCTCCGGCCTATCAGGAAGGACCACAGGATTTACACTGAGGTACGTGTGTGGGGGGGGAGTAGGGTTAGTGGTACATGTAGCTCCATTGCAGGACTGCTGTGCACAGGAGTATGTACACCGGTACCACCTCAGGCCTATCCACAGGGACCACAGGATTTACACAGAGGTACCAGTACCTTTATTGTGGTTTTGCTCAGTTTCTTCTTCTTCCATTTCAAACAAATAAATTCAATGACCTGGACCAGACGTCTGTCACCATGGTAACCAGTGCTGTGGTGTTGGTTTACATTATGTAGCAGACCAGTATTGACTAGTTCTGCCCATCCATTCTTGTTTCCAGCCTTGACAGCATTTCTTGTGTGTGTCTCCAGGCAGCTGCGAGGTCAAACTTCGCATCTGACCTTCGGAAACAGCTGCAGGGCAGCTTCAATGAGAGACAGCAACAATCCCAGATACCCTGGGCACAGAGGGTTCTACAGGATGGAGGAGGGGGGCACTGGGAAGGGGAGTCTTACAGCACAGCTCTGGCTTCGGTAGAGGTAGGGATATATAGTACCTCTTATTGATACCTTATACAAGCTACTCTAATATTTACTTCATATTGTGTCCACAATTAAGATTGATTTTCTAAGGAACAGTAAACGGAATAATTTTACTGATTGATCCTTCCATTCCTTCATTCATTCCTTCCTTCATTCATTCCTTCCTTCATTCATTCCTTCCTTCATCCATCCATCCATCCATCCATCCATCCATCCATCCATCCATCCATCCATCCATCCATCCATCCATCCATCCATCCATCCATCCATCCATCCATCCATCCATCCACCCACTCACCCACCCATTATTTTCTTTACACTTCTGCATCCCTCTCAGGAGCCAGAGCCCAGCCCATCTGCAGTAGAGGACCTTGTGTACCCAGTGGTAGGGAGAAGGGTGAGGAGAGTATGGAACTCACGATTCTGTGATGTACATGTTCTCAGTCAGTGGAACGAGGCACTGGACAAAGCACAGGTCAGAAAAACACAAATTACTTTCAATATGTTAAATGTTTTGTGACCCTGCCTCTGGAACAAGAGGTTGGGAGTTCGAATCTCGGCTGTTGTCACTCACCTGATACGCATTGTACTGGAAAGGGTCGCAGTCCTTAGGACAAGATGTTAAGCCGTGGTCCACTGTTCATTTTGTTTATTGAAAACAGCTACGGGGGAATTAATTCCCCGGTACAATGAACCTGTAAATACTGTAGATAGCGTCTGTCTTCTCTGTCACAACTAGTGGAAGATTGTAGCTCTTCAGCAAAGATGAAGCAATTTTTTTGTTGGATATTTTGAAAGTTATATGTCAGACATAAGTTGATGAATTAGTGGTCTTCTATTTGGTTGTTTTCAGATCCTCCTCCAAGAAAATACAGTCTTCTTGAGGAAGTTTCAAGAAGACACAGAGTCCAGTGGAGACGATGCATTCCTTGCCTTGAATAGGCAACAGTTGTCTCAGGTGAGTTAAGACATTTCTACCTGTTCCAAGAAGTTTATTTTCTTACCAGCATTCGTTGGTTTTGGAGCTAGATAGCCCGCAAGGTTATTTCTAGTTCTCTACATCATCTTCATGTTTTTACTTTGAAATTTGTCTCTTCAATAACCAGGACAGGTTTGTTAATCATCTTATGACTAGTATTTTCTTGTTGTTTTTCTTGACCTGAGACTGAATATTTTTTTTCAGTCCTTGCTGCCCAAGATCCTGTGCCTTACCAACACCAGAGTCTTAAAGAGGCTCAAACCCTATCTTAGTGCAGGGTTGGAACCAAAGGTGGGTGTCTTAACTTCATATAACTAATAAAAAAAAGGTAATTTACAGGAGTATAGAATGGAATTTTAGTTAAAAATTTGAAAGATAAAACAACAACATCACAAAACATCACCACTATGTAAATGAAAAATCTATTAAGAGTAATTTATCCTGGGTTAAAAATGTTAGAATTATATTAATCATTTTCTTTATTGTTCTCCCCTTGTGATGACAGATTTTCAGTGTTGACTCGGACCCAGTGGAGACATTCCTGGCCCTGAAGGAGGTGAACTCAGGTGAAGACATCTTAACTACCTCACCTGAGGACAGGACAGGTGTCCTGCAGGACTCCAGGTAAGTTCACCTGTGTTTCTTTAGGTGAGAGAAGTATCTATGTCTGTCTGTGGTTGTCATAGCTCCCTTGGCTAAGTGTGAATCTGGCATACAGTAACTACACACTATACTGGTCCCATGTGCTTACAACTACATGCACGGACTCACACTAGGCTGTCACTGCAGTTCCACTCCGGGTCTCATATGACAGTTGTACAGGCACTCAGTACTTAAAGAGAAGCCTTTTGATTTTGGAAATTGTTCTATATACTAGTCTTAGTACTTTTAAAAGAAAATTCATTTTTATTGGTTGATGGAAAATGTTGGAAAAATTTGAATCTTTGTCTCATATTACAGTTCATTCCTCAGTAAAGAAAAAATTGCATGTTTTAATTGGTTTTTGGATCTTTGGAAGTGTTTGAAAAAATAGTTCAATCTGAAGTGACTGGAGTTTCATTCCTGCTCAGGTTACCTAAGTTGCTACAGATGACAGGAGTGGATGGGATAGTTGCAGACCTGAGGACTGAGACTGGAGAGTTTGGGCAGGAGGAGAGTCACACCAAACAAGACTTCCTCCTGCTCTGTCTACTGGCTATTAAGGTACAGATGCTGTCCACTAGTGACTTAACAACAATATGTATTAGAGTTCTTTATACAAATCACAATGCACATTATACAATTGTTGGTTTATTCGTTTATTTCGATACCCTTTAGTCTAAAGTCTTCCAGGTTTCAAAACATATAAACATATGAACATACTGACAACAAAATAAAAGAGAATGAACATACAATCATCACAAATTATATACATTGTATAAAACATCACTAAGTCTTACAGCATGAAACAAGCTATCATTGTCTCTTCAATTATGATTTGTGTTGTTACAGTTTGCTTCAACTGCATACATGAAATAAAATACTTGCTGAAGTATTCATATGTTACTATTAGTTTTGACATTTTTCTTTTCCTCCCCAGAGCCTGCCCCCAGGTGGCTTGCTGGTGTGCTGTGTTCACACACTACTGACCAGGTTTGCTGCAGGACTGGTCTACTTACTACACAGGGTCTTCAACAAGGTAGGCAGTCTATAGATATATATCATCATTATCATGTGTGTTAATTATATACTGTAGCTTGTACAACTGCACACCAGCTTTTGCAGACATGCGGCATAACAGCAGCTGGTTACATGACATTTTATTCAACTAGCTGCCGCCGCGCCGCGTGCCTGCGAGGCTGGTGTGTTATGCTGAAGGGCGGTTATACCAGCTATACAGATACAGAAGCTGGTGTGTTACGCCAAAGGGCGGTTATACCAGCTATACAGATACAGAAGCTGGTGTGTTACGCCGAAGGGCGGTTATACCGGCTACACAGATACAGAAGCTGGTGTGTTACGCCGAAGGGCGGTTATACCGGCTATACAGATACAGAAGCTGGTGTGTTACGCCGAGGGGCGGTTATACCGGCTATACAGATACAGATATTAGCTACATGTATCTAGTGAGTACTATCCAGGATCTGTAGCAATGTAATGTGCCTAAATCTGCACATCTGTAGGGCATATTCAAGGTAGCTGATTAAGTTTCTACTGTTATATAGTGCTATACATATTTGTGTGCCAGGAGGATGTGATTTTTTTTTTTGAGGACAGGCAAAAATCAATGCGCATGGATGTCATCCATACAATTAAGTCGGTGTGGCCTAATGGTGAACAATGTATTTGCCAGAGACAGAAGTGAGGTCTCAGTATTTCTAATGGAACATGACACTGTCATGTGGTATTTGCACATTCTACACTTATCAAGGCAATGTTTCTTTCGATTTGTGTTATTAACAAAAGACTTTTCTCTTGAGAGGGAATCCGCCTTGCCATAGCCAAGGCTTCTTGGCAGAGACTGATGGCTTTTCTGGGATTACCAAGGCAGGACCAAGCTGTTGCCATGTTGTTTAGTGTGGCAACAATGTTAGGATGTGCTGTGTGCTGGCCGTACATACTTCTCCTAATCTGCACTGCCTGTTCAAGACAGCTCACAGCTTTTTGGTAATCAGCGATATCAAGATAAACTGATCCCAGGTTGTTGAGTGTGTCTGCAGTGAAATGATGTGCCATACCTTGATCAGACATACTTCTGTTCATATCTAATGCCTTTTCAAAAAAGTAAACAGCTTTCCTTTGATCACCCAGGGCACTCCATGCTTCACCAATATCGTTGATCAAACGTGCAATATCAGGATGTGGTGTAGTCTGGCCATAGATACTTTTGCACATGTGTAGCGCCTGTTCATAGTAGTTTATTGCTTTTCTGTGATCACCCAGTTTATCCAAAATTTTCCCCTGGTGGGTGAGTGACGTGGCAATTTTAGGATGTGGTGTACTTTGACCATACATATGTTTCAACATCTGCAGTGCCTGATCAACATAAATGAGGGCTCTCCAATAATCATCTTGAGAGTAACAGGATCTTCCCATGTTGAGAAGTGAGGTGGCAATTTCAGGATGTGCTGTACCCTGACCATGAATACGCATGTCCATCTGCAGTGCCTGTTCAAAGTAGTTCATTTCTTTTCTGTGATCACCCATGCTGCCCCAGGCTCCCCCAAGGTTGCTAAGCGAGATTGCTATGTCGGGATGTTCGACAGCCTTGCCATAAATGATTATGCGCATATGCAGTGCCTTTTGAAAGCAGCTAATTGCTCTCTTGAAATCCCCTTGTCTGGCCCAGACACCACCCAGACAGTTCAGTGTGGAGGCAGTTTTAGGATGTGCCTGGTCATAGATGCTCCTGTACATCTGTAGTGCTTGTTCATAATAGCTGATTGATCTTTTGTATCCACCTTGTTGGCTCCATACTAACCCCAGTCTATGTAGTGACATGGCGATGTCAGGATGTGCTGTTTCCTGGCCATAGATACTCCTGTGCATCTGCAGTGCCTGTTCACAATAGCTCGTAGCCTTTCTGTGCTTACCGAGGCTGAGCCAGTCTGCCCCCATGCTTTCAAGCAAGCTGGCAATGTGAGGATGTGCTGAACTATGACCATACACACTCCTGTACATCAGTAGGGCCTGTTCATGGTAGCTGACTGCTTTTCCAAGATCTCCCCTTGCCTCCCAGGTTGCCCCCAGGTTGTTGAGTGAGGCTGCAATGTAAGGATGTGGTGTGCGTTGACCATATATGCTCCACAACATTTGTAAGGCCTGCTCATAGTAGCTGGTGGCGTCCTTGTAATTACCCAGGTCATGCAAAGCCATCCCCAGGTTGTAGAGCAACATGGCAGTATAAGAATGTGCAATTATGTGACCATAGACACTCCTGTACATATGTAATGCCTGTTCATTGTAGCTTACAGCTTTTCTCGGAGCACCTCGTTCCAACCAGGCTGTCCCCAGGTTACTTAGTAATAAGATGACTATGTTAGGATCATTTTGACAGATAGTTTTCTGTATCCCCAGTGCCTTTTCGGAATAAGTGATTGCCTGTTGGTAACCACCCATGCCAAGCCAAGCATGTGCAAGCTTATGCAGCAGGAACACTTGGTCAGTTGCTGTAACTTTAGAATGTTTTAGGGCCTTATCAAAGAAGCTGATAGCTTGCCTATATTTGCATAGCTCATAGTACATCGTTCCTTTCACACTTGGAGAATTCTCATAGCAATCAGGGACAGAAAGAGGAATCGCCTCTTTTGCAGACCATTCTGACAAAAAAATCTTAAGAGGAATATGTGTATAATAGTATCTAAATAGCTGTTTTTCATTTGATAGATAGAAAACTGCTTTCAGTTGATCTGTTTGTTCTTCACCATTGGCTGATATGAATGTTTCCTGTTCATGCAGCACTGTTCCCATTGAGGCCATAGCTGACAGGTTTTCCTTCTGTCCACCATTTGCGATGTAGGTTCTGAGTCTGAGTTCTGCTGAGATGCTGGTAAGCACTGTCAGGTGGTGTGCATTGTTGGGACTGATCACTTGTTGCTTTTCCATTTCTTCTATTGTCTCCCAAACTGTGGTAGGTATGATGCCTGAAGACAGTGCCAAGCAGTTCACTGCTACAGCTGGGAAGCGATAAAGGTCTTTTTTTACATCAATCAGCCTTGCTGTTAGCTTATCATTATGGCTTTTGATGCCTTCCTTCATTGTCTCTTGTGCCAGTTGTTTAGCCATTTTGCCTTCATCAGCTTGCAGTATCTCCACTGTGATGCTCATGTATGTGTCAATTAAATCCTGGTCCCCTGCTATCAGACATGGGTTTCTCAAGACAGTGACAAGGTGATATCCTTCCTTCAGGTACACTGTGAAATCCTTCTGAAGTATGGAGACCATGTTCCTTGGGGTGCGGATGAGTTCACTGGGTGGTTCAGTTGAGGTTCCCTGCCTGCCCAGTGGAGTCTTGCTTGCCTTTGGCATGGAGCCGTCAAATGCAAACCCACGAGGTGTAACAGAGTCATAGTACCAGTTGTCAAGTGGGTCATCTGAGTAGAAGTTATTGAGAGATTTTATTCCCAGTGCTGGGAGAATGGTTTCTCCCAGGTTGACCACCTTGAGGTGTAGATAGTGGGTGAGGTTACGGAAATAAACTTTATGTTGTTCACTTTCATCCTCTACCAAGATGGCAAACTCCAGGTCTGAATATGGAGTTACCAGTCCTGTGGCCTGTGAACCCAAACCCATCAGGGCATACTTAAAGGGCGGGGGACCCATTAACCCAATACACTCTTCTACAAGCAGGCTGATGAACTCTTTCCTTTGTTGTGCAATTTTCTCAAACAACTGCCTGACAGCCTGAGCTCGTTTTGCCTCTATCTTTCTGACACATGGGTCATCCTCATCATGTACATAGGGATCCAGCTGCTGGTCAATGGTTTCCATCTCCAGCTTGATCTGGTCCCGCATCTCCTTCAGCTGTTTCTTGTGCTTTTCTGTGTTGTCCAGGCTTACATTATGACTTATGTCTAAGATACATTTCAGAAATGACTTTTCAACCTTTTTAATACCTGTTGCTATGTTACCATTGAGGACTTGATCCTCTGACCTGGCTATTGCTGCATTGTAGAGTGCTGCTGCTTTGACAAAGTCTCCCCCGTCTCCTGTCTGCTGACCTCGCTTACTGTAGACATCCCCCAACTTGCACAGGGGCTCCACCTCTCTCTGGTACTGCTGGGCTTTGGGTTCTGAGGAGAAAGAGCTTGCAGTCAGGCTTGTTTGCGAGAAAGCTAAATTTGAATACTACTACTAACACCACATGAAAAGACCTTTAGTTATTGAAATGTTTGCATTTATAATTTATCACAAAAAAGAGAAAAGAAGTTACTAAACGTAAAGTAACAGTATTTATTGGAACTTAAGAAAGGAAACTCAAGTTTCAAAATGACTGCCTATTATTACATTGATAATCGTCAAGCTTTGGAAAATTATTTGTTTCTTATTTATATTACCTCTCACATGCACTGTCTTGAGTGCAGCTGCAAAGTGCTGCTCTGCTGAGTCCAGGTCTGCCCTGGCAAGGGACGATTCACCTTTCTTAAGGTGTTCCTTGTGCTGCCTAGAAGTAAAAGGCAGATAACAGTAGATATGTATTATAAGATTCAAAATAACAGTTTAAATAATAATTATTATTACAGCGTGTAAGCATTCAAAGAAAGTTGTAGAAAATTTTGTATAAACCTCCACAAAATATACTCACATGTCTGTTTGTTTCTCTTCAGCTACGATACCGGTAATTTGCTTATCTTGAACAAGAGGCTTTTCTCGCATACCTGAATGCTGAACATGATATTTGCTTCATTATTATAACATATGTGCATGTTGGTTGATCAATTAATTTTTTTTCATACTAAGTAAAATACTATCTATATGTACACTGAGACCATGTCATGTAGTCTGCATTGTACTCGTAAACTATTCTAAGACTTATGTGTTCAAAGACTGCTAGCAGTATTATGACGGAAACTACTCACCCGCCTTCCTGCTTTCCTGACCCTTTCTGCGAACAAGACGCGATGCTCCAGGGTCAATTTCGTCTCACCTTCCTTACATCTTGTTAGGGCTTTCTTGTACATGGCAGCTGCCTGGGAGCATTTTGATAAGTCGGAGGTGTTCTGGCCATTCTCAAGGTAGAAATCTCCGAGTGATTTCAAAACCTCGACCTCTAAGAACATGTCACCATTACCAATGGCAGTCACTAATGTTTCTGTGTAAGTCTCCTCTACAGAGTGCCAGGGCTTACCAACTCTTCTGTCCAGTTTGTCACAAATTTTTGCCACCCTTAAGACATTACTGTCAGCAGTACCGCAGTAGTCTGGTGACTGATACTGTGGACTGTACCCCTGCAGCAGTTGTCTGGAGAGTTTCTCCATGTAGCCGATACGATGTTCCAGTGTTTCTCCCATGTCTGGATCTGTGCAGTGCCGTAGGGCAGCAGCATACAGGGCAGCAGCCTTGTCAAACTCTGCTGAATCTTTCCTGAGCTTTGCTTTCTGAAGATGCAGGTCTCCAAGACTTTTCAGGACCTCTAATTCCTTGTATTGATCATTGTTAAGAATGGCTTTTCTCAGAGCCTGCCCAAAAAGTTCTGGATTACGTCGATTTTTGAGACACAGCTCTAAGTTCTGTAGCTTGTCCGCCAGGCTGGTCATGTTGATTTCAGCCGTCTTCCTGTATTTATCATGCAGCAAAGGGACAAAACGTTGCCTAGGAAATTTCAGCTTACAGTTTACAGTCTATTTACTAGTAGGTGATCATGATAATGACTGATACTGTGGAGTGTACCCCTGCAGCAATCTGAATATTAGTTTGTCTGTATTTAGTCAAAACAATATTTAGCCTTACTGACTAGTTTTTCAGTAGTTGCTACATGTAACAATGACTTCCCTCAGTACCCACTCAAAATCAAGCTATGGATCATGTTCCAAGCAACCTGTCTGACAATTAGCCCTTGCAAGATTGTGGAACTCAGGCAGCCTAATCTCATATGGATGTCTAAGATTTCTCTAAATCTCACCTGGATGTCTGAAAATGTCTACAGCTGTGAACCTGCCTTGGTAGAGACTTGTCTGTTCCTCCCTGTACTGGAGAGAGTTCTGGTTTTCCCTCTGGTTTTCCCTCTTGCTGCAGCACTGCCGAAACTTTCCATTATGTCATACATTTACCTAAGATGTAGACCTGTTTGTCTTATGACGTATTAGTTACTTATTAACTTAATGTTTACACCTTCGGCCACTGGGTCTTTTGGCAAGCGTACAAAGCGTGCATAGTGCACTTTGGTCACAACAAAAGATGTCTACAGTAACTAGAGCTTTGTGTCTGAGACTAAATCTTACCTGGATGTCTGAGGCTCCACAGCTGTGAACCTGCCTGGGTAGAACTTTCCATGTTCCTCCCTGTACTCTGGTAAAACTGAAAGTTCTGGGTTTCACCTGGCTGACTTAGGGACTTCCCCATGTGATTATGTCATTACAGGACTTTCCACTGACTGAATCACCTTTCCTGTTTCACAGTCCCCATTCAGCCATGCCTAATTTGGGCATGACTCAGACCATGCCAAGCCTCAGGTGGTAACAGAATGGTCATCACCTGATGTGTGTTTAATTACTCTAAATCAATGATTGAGTTACAGTTTAGTAACATCCTCTTGCTACTGGAGGCAGCTGCTGCTGCTAAGTGACTAAATATGTGACAGATCGCTCAATGAATTTTAAATTCATAAAAGAGAACATTATTTTTTTGTGTGTCTTCTTGTTTTTAAATGACACTTTTACATTGTGCATCATATTTAGCTTATAAAATTCACAAAATTCAATTATTATTCTAATAATCAGCCATTTAGTGGAAAGTTAACACACTCACTATCCAGTTTATTGTCTGTTGTTCTGTCATCCGAGGGTTAGACGTGCTTGCACAGCAATTATACTGCAGCTTGATGGTAGTCTGCCACTTCTGTATCAGTATACTAGCCAGTATAACTGCCCCTCGGCGTAACACACTTGCCTCTATCCTGTGGGCTAGGGGACGTAATTAATAAGATGTACCCCATTCTCTCTGTTCCAGGTTAGTTTGTGCCCCCTGCAGCCACACAGTCGACCCAGCCTGCTGCTAGTGTGTACTGGGTACAGGGGCTGTGAACCCAGGCTACTGGAGGTAATGTAATATTACAAAGAAGTTGTTGTGTTGATGAAATGATTGTTTACTGTTAAGGTAAACAATAACTCACTCTCACTCACTGTCCGGTTTATCGTCTGTTGTTCCCCGTCTTCCGAGGGTTAGACGTGCTTGCACTGCACACCTGGGGCTTGATGGCAGCACGCCACTTGCCTCTGTCCTGTGGGTCAATTTTAAAAAAATTTTTAATAAATAAATTTTTAAAAATTTTTAAAGTTTTATGACAGTCACAATATCTTCATGACTTCCATATAAAATAATACTGAAGAGAATTTGGGACTTTCTGAGAATTACGAATTTTTATATTTCACATAATTATATGCTATACGTGCATACATGTATGACACATATTCTTCACAAACATAATACTGTCATGAGTGTGTGGATTTCCTACATTGAACCTGTGTTCTATCTGCACCTGTGTTAGGCCCTGCAGGATGTGAGAGGAACCATTTGTGGGGGCTTGCAGGGGGAGAGGGACGTGTTGGAGGTGGTTCCCATGCAGCAGCTACTGGGTAAGAGAAAGATTTTTTTACACCAAAACTCATGCTATATGTATAATGGAATACCAGATTGTTGTTTTTGTAATCAGATAGCCTTGAAAACTTTGTATATTATATACCAGGTATATTTATAATGTGTCTGCAGTAACTGTATCATGTCATCATCATAAAGTTTTCATGATTGTGTTAACAGGAGATGGGAGATTCCAGCACTTTCTGAAGGCAGCTAATGAGACAGTTCTACACAGGAGCCTAGCAACGGTTGTCATGTGGGAGAAACAACTTCTACAGAACTGCCACACACAGGGGGACTGAGAACTAAGTAGTGGTAAGCATTCTTAGGCAAAGTTGAACCGTACTGTAATTTCCAACAGAAAATTGTAATGGGTAGAGAGGCGGTTAATATTTTGGCTGTACAACACCAATCTTGTCAAACATCCCACCACTTTTGTGATGCAGACATGTCATGCAGCTACATGTAGAACATGTGATGGTCAAAAGTTGCAGGAAGTTTATGGCGCCCCCCGTCTCAGTTGAAGGATGGTTGTAAGGTCCATGGAAACTACAGGCCAACTTTGCTTCAAGTGATAATTACAGTGCTGTAAACCATCTCTCCAACCTTACTGGTGCTAAAAAAAAGATGGAATATTTTATTCCTGAAAGAGCAGTCACTGTGATTTGTAAAGTGACCAACAGTTGTGAACATCAAGTTTCAAGTTTACATCTGGGAACAGTACTGTACTTTGACTACCCAATGCACCATTAGAAAATATGCTGTTGTTTTGATAGAAGTTTTGTACAATCATGTAGATAATGTATAGATTTCTACTTTATTTCTACTGATTTAGAGTCTAGTGTAAGTAAGTGTAAGTTGGTTGAACCTTTTTAGACCTGTGCCATGTTTGTAAAAATGTTGTTCCATGTAGGTTTTAGTATCTTTTATGCATTAATGTTGCAGATGTTGCAGACTTTTATGTTGAAGTTTTCTTCTTTTATCTCAAGGCATCCCTGTCTGATTCAAATTAAATTTTGGTCAAAAGCACATGTCTATAATTTAGGACTCTTGGTAGTCCTTCGTCGCCGACTAATTTAGGACTAAAGAACTGGATATTATACATATTTTTCTGGGATATTGTTTGGACATGTACAATGTACATGTAGGGTTGGGTTTATCGCATAAAAAGTAAGTGATTTTCCAGTGTTAGGCTTCTATGTGTGATGTATTAGTAGTAAAAACAGACCACTGCAGCTATTTCCATCATTTTTATGCTTTTATTGAAAATAAACTCTTATACAAACATGCCATTATTACAAAAATGTATTAGTAAATTATCAGTCTTAGACTGTGTCTATCTATCAAACATCAACACTGTTAGAAGCTGGAATTAATAATATATACATTTGCTTGCAACAGTTTAATACACATTATACTCTTCACAAAGCATATGTCATATATTGGGTATATATACACATCATACTTAGTCTATCAAATCACAATTCTCATTGGCAAGATTCTGCAGGGCAAGTTAGTTATCTACTGCAACTGTTAACTTTAATCTCATATTAAATTTCTAATTCACAGCAATCAGAAACAGTGCATAATCATCACAGCAACATTTTGTAAATCACACAATTAGAATTTAAAACATATTTCTGCCAAGCAACATCATCACATCTTAATCTACTGCATTTTCAGAACAAATAATATTAAATTGGATACTGTGTCAATGCGTATGAATGCATAGGGAAGTATAGTCAATGCGTATGAATGCATAGTCTACCATCATTTCTATTTTTTTCCCTATAGATTGTCTAATGCAACTGACAATTTCAGAGAAAAGAATTATTGCTTAACTTGCATAGAATCAATGCTTATTGGTACATGTTTGGAATAATAGCTGCAATGATTAAGAAGCTTCACTTAAGATAAGAATCGCCATTCACAATTCTTTATGATTATAATTTCGAGTTCAAAAGGGTGACATTTCTACATTGGTCTCAACAGTATCCTAGGATTTTCAGAACTATGAAGATCTCAGGCTTCACTGCAGTTATGAAAGTTCAGTCACAAAGTTTAGCCTGAATATGCCTTTGGACTGCGTAACATTTCGCACTTGTGTTAATATTTTTAAGATCAGAATGATGTTACATGGGAGATGATTTGAAAACCCTTAAATACCCTAGAAGCTGTAGTATGTAGGAGTTTTAAAATGACAAAGCCATACTCTCCCTGAACACCATGACTTTGTCATCCAGAATGTGTGCAGGTTTCTTTTTGTGTAGGAGTTATCTGTGAAATGAGTACAGACACTTAAATGAAGCTGTAGAATTTGTACAATTACAAAGCCGTCCTCTCCCTAAACACTACAACGGCTTTATCATCCAGAATCCCTCCCACGTCCTTCTCCCCCTCCTGGCTCAGGGCGCGGGCGATCGCAGCGGCGTGGTCACGCTTCATACGGTTCTTACGCTTCTTAGACAGGTCAACCTGAGATAAAACAGGAAAATGAAAAAATATGATGTTACAAAAAGGGATAAAGTTGACTAAAATGTACTACTCTCCATGTGATTATATCTTGGTACAAAAATAATCATTATCATATGTAATAACATAACGTATGACACAATCATTATCTATTGTCATGGTAAAGATCAGACTGTAAGGCCTAAACTGTCTGATGCACTGAGACATGATCACACTAGGAAGGATGCCAGCCTACTCTTTTCCATAAGTGTGGTGGGTTCTTTAACGTTGAATTGTGGCTCTCCTCAGACATGCAACTTCCATTTTACATCCTTACCGAGGGACGTTCCTAACCAAAGTTTTTTCTGAGTGAAGTGACGAAAGCTGTGTCAGGTTCCAAAGGCACAACGTCAGGGCATATCAGTGGATTTGAACCCAATACTTCTAATAGTCTTGGGCCAAATACCTAACTTTTAGCCACACAATACCAATCCGTGTACAATATTGCAGGAAAAATATTGCCCTTACCTGTGCATATAGCTGCTGTACATCCGGAGGAACCCCCTCCAGATCAGACGCCGACAACCCGCTGCCTGAGGGGGTGGAGTGCTTGCTCTTCCGCGACCTCTTACCCCCGGACCGGCCCACGCTGGAGACGGGGGTGCTCAGGTGGCCGGACCGGCCCACACTGGAGACGGGGGTGCTCAGGGGGGTCTCTGGCAGCGACCTGCCGCTCGACGACCCAGCTGGGAGGTCAGAGGTAAAAGGGCATGATTTAGAAGGTAGCCATTTCTTGAAAATATAATGTTCAGCACCAAGGACAGGGCTCATACCCGCTCATGACATAGTTTCAAGTTAGAGAAATTGAGTGAAAGACAAGCCTCATACATAATTGCCATCTTGAAAAGTACGTTTGGCTTCACCTATAACTGCTAAGTTCTTCTCACTACACGAAAGTATCATTCATCAATAATATTACATGTTAGATACGATCAAATTGCAACAACTGACTTCCAAATCTTGGAAAAAAAATTGTATCACAAACCTTGACTTGACCTTGAGGGTGTTTTCCGGTGACCTCTGTACTGGTCCCGAGGACTTCCGCCGTCTTTAGGAGACAGCTGCCGACCTTTTCTTGGAGGGCTGCCATTTGGGGTCAAACTTGTCGAGGGCAGGTGTGAGGGGTCAAGAGTCGAAGGGTAAGTGTCAGAGGTCACTGATTGCCTGCTGCTGCCTGGCAACGAACCGTTCTGTGACACACTGTCCCTGCCCTTTGACCTACTGGCTGAGGAGTCAGAGGGCGAAGGTCGTCTCCTTGGTAGCGACCGGGTCGGGGAAGGCTGGCCGACCTTGGTAGACGGCAAGGTCATGGGTGAGAAGGCGGAATTCTGGGAAGGCGTGAATGGAGGAGGTGGGTGTGGCCCGGGCGGAGTCCTGTTGCTATGGAGACTTGCTGGGGAACTCTGGGAAGGTGTGGCTGGGGGAGGGATGCCTGAAAGATAATTACATTAAGGATGAACCTATAATGGTTAAAAATATTTATTATCCAAATTTGCCTTTTATATGTTTGTGAGACATGTAGCATAAAATCATGGGTCTCCAGTGTAAAACTGTAAAAATGTAAAATTGTTACACAGTCATATGACACGCAGTACAGTTCAAACAGCTATGAGAACTGGGTAACCGTGACAACTAAGCAACTAAGAAACTGTGTAACCATGACAACTAGAAATTGGATAACCACGAAAAATACAAAACCATGACAAACAAACAAATACAGAATTGCATGGGTAGACATGGCAACTAAAAAGTTGGGTAACCTAGCAACTAAAGAACAGCGTAACCATAGCAACTACATGACGTACCGGGGTGCTGGGGAAGCTGTCGGCGTCTGGGGGACTGAGGGAGGGGGCGGGC